AAAATGAGGGAGCGTCTATTGAGATGAACTATGACACAGAACTCACTGATCAAGAGGAAGAAATGATCTTGCGGTCGTCAACAACTCAATTTGGAGAATTCTTATTATCTTTTCTTGGCAGAGTATTCACTCTTCTCGAAAACCTCCCCGACGCTGCTCGGGTTCGCAGCGGCTCTCCCGAGGAGAACGTCGTTAATACATTACCTGCGACGCTTATGCCTCTACTCGCATCCCTTTCACCAGAACTATATGACCAAGCTTTAATCAAAATCGTAAATTTTGTTTCTGGTCATGTTATCCATCCAGCCCGAGATGCAATGGCATTTATTTGCAATTCCGTTTGTAAAGTCAACCCTGAAAAGGCTCTGAAGAGTCTTGTTCCACTCCTAATACAATCTATACGTACCGAGATAGATGAAAATGGCGCGGCCTCCACAAGGACCACAGGCTCAGATATCTTGCCTCGCGACCGCGGACTCGTCTGGAATGTTAGTATGCTGAGCATGTGTGTCGTTCATGTGGGGTCTGCTGTTTTAAAATACAGAACAGATCTTTTCGACATTGCCATCTACATGCAACAAAAATGCAAGGGCATCCCAACTGTCCATGTTTCGAATTTTATCCACCATTTGCTTCTGAACCTTACGGCGACGTATGTTATTGACCACTCTCTGTATGAGCCGGATGTCAAGGAAAAGGGTGTTCAAGTAGAACAATGGGGTCAGAGGCATGACCCAAACCATCTAACCATCAAATGGCATGTCCCACAACGAGAAGAACTTGAATTTGCAGTCGAGCTCTTCAAGTCACAGGCAGAGAACGCTCTGGATCAACTTACATCCCTTACAAGCGAGACACCAAGTATAAACCGAGACGGAAGCGGCAAGGAATGGTCCGATGAAGTGACGCGAAAGCTTGTTTTACTCAGACTCATCATTTCTGGAATTTCTATGTTGTTTGATAACAAGGCAGCTTCATACTACAACACTGGGGATAGACATCCCCGTGCAGATCTTGACGTCAAAATGTCCGATGCGAACGACTCATGTTCTGACGAAGGAAGTTCTGAAGATGATTCTGCACTAGACGGCTCTGACGATTCTGCTGTGCGACAAACATTCCAATATCCTACTGGATACCTATTGAAAGAAGACGACCCACTCTATATCTCCATCCATGAGATTAGACGCCGGGTTGGTGAAGTTTTACATAACGTTCACAGGTTTTTGGTGGAAAAGCAGGAAGATGACGTTTCATGCTTCCCTCCTTTGTATACTGCCTATCGTTCATGGTTTGTCGACGTTGGAATAGAGAAATCCGCCCATATTCTCGACCGAGTTACCAAACTCCTCGCGGCTGACACCCAGCCATATAAAGTAAGCGGCGTTCGTAAAGATTATCCTCGGCCTTTGCTTGTTCGTCGTGCGAATGTTTATCACGTGCAAAGACTCCGACACAATGCCTCCCCTCGATCTCGATCTAAGCTTGATGAAACCCTTCTACTTGATCTCGCTGAGTCGAGTGTCTCGCTGTACACTGATATAAGGCGAAGTGCCCAAGGAGCCAGCGAATCTGCTCTCAAGGCGATTTGGGGATCAAGACTACTTATTATTCCGACCTTGATCAAAGCACTACAAATAGCAATCAAGACAAACGATTACCGCCGTTTAAAAGGCGCCATATACTCTATCCTTTTCAGCAGTATCGCAAAACCCGTGGGCCGGCATTGGAAATACGCGCCGTCTCTCATTAAGGCATTTATAGAAGCCAACGCCGTTGATAAGCCCTCGATTCAAAAACTGTGTTCCGGGGCTGTCTATCAGATTATGGATTATGGCCGCCCAATGGAGAGAATGGCGGTACTTGACCAGGACATTATAAAGTCTATCGCCCCAAAAAGTGATGTGCAAGCTATAATTGATAATAAACGGGAAGCTCTTCAAAAGAAGCGAGCTTTGATAGAACAGAAGAAGGCCGAGCTTTCAGAAGAGCTGACCGATTTGGCACGGGTATCCCACTGGAAAATGGCCAGCAGGACTGCAGCGATCGTCATTGGCTTGGGTCTGAGATTTGATTATGTCGCAAGCGAGAATTTGGTAAACCTCATCATACAAGGATCCATCGATTCTCACCCGAGCCTGAGAGGGATATACTCACAAACCCTTGTTGCTCTGTTTACCATGGTAGATGTGAGGGCAGTCTGCAGTCATAAATATGAAAACTACATCATGGGTGTTCAACGTTTTCCTTCCAAAATCCAAGTCGCCACACAACCATACAAAAAGGGTTGGACTGAGGAGTACCTTGCAAGTTTCGCCAGGCCGGAGGCGGAATACTATGTCGACCACGATTATCCTGGTTGGCTTGTATGGGGAAAGACCATGCCAGCATATAAATCTAACATCAAGCAGGATATCGAGTACGACGAGCTTGAATGGAATGTTCGCAAACAAATGGGAAAGCTATGTACTCGGGAATGGTTTGCAGCGTTCTTCAAATACTTGAAGCAGGAGCCAAGGGATATCTACGCGGATAAATTTCGCATGTCAAGCGCTATGACGCTACTTTATGTTTTCGAGCTCATGCTTAGAGATGAGTTGACAGCTGCCACGTTTGAAGACATCAAAGAAGAGATTGCTGTTGTTTTTGAAGATGGGAGTGATAAACATCAACACCGTGCAACCGCGGAAATACTGGGCGCGCTTATCGGCTCGGTAACAGATACGAGCGTTGACAAACGAACCCTAGTATGGGAATACGCATTTCCCATTGTTCGCCGGATATTTTCAGATGGCCTTACCCCAGAAAACTCTGGATATTGGACAACGTTCGTGCATATGATAATGCAATGCAGGGACCCACGTCGCCTCTGGCCTCTCCTTGATTGGTTAACCAGCTTCCGACTAGATATGAATTCGAATGCGGCGTTTAAAGAAAGCTCGAAAATCAACTTATTGCACCAATGCATCCTGGACGTCGGTTGGCACTTTCAGTTAGAAAAGCCGATTGTTGCAGACTTTCTTGCTCACCTTGATCATCCTTACAAAGGAGTCCGTGAAGCCATAGGCCACACTCTAGGGTCGATTTACCGGACTAGGTATCACGAGTCATATGAAAATATACAACAATTGATTCAGGCACAAAAAGAAGCCTCTTCTATTGGCACGCGTCCCTACAAGCCAAGCAAGGAATTTGCAGATACTATAGTCGATGTGTTCAGCCGGCTGGAAAGGTGGCGCGGGGAAAGGGTTCCTGGTCAACAAACACCGTCCTCATACACTTCAGGGAGCAAAACCGTTCTTCTCTGGCTAGACTCCACACTGTCGTCACATGAATGCACTCAGCTTCTGCAATTCTTTCCAGGTACTTTTACAGAGGAGCTTTTGCATATGATGGATGTCAAAGAGGACCAGGAACTACAAAGACTCGCCTACCACGTCTTCCGTCACCTTTCAAATATTCCCCATCCTTCTGGGGATGACTCCGAGTTTGTGGAATCTTTGATTCGTATTGGGCTTACGTCTTCTTCGTGGCATCAACGACTTCGCGTCATGATCAACATCCAAATTATGTATTTCCGCCGTCTTTTCTTGCTGTCCAAAATTGATCGTGAGAAGCTATTCGATTGCATCGCCTGTATGCTCGAGGATACCCAACCTGAAGTCCGGGCTGGAGCTTCTGCAACGCTCTCTGGCATGATCCGCTGCTCTCCTGCGTCATTACGTAACGATATGGTTCTCAAATTACGCGACAGGTTCACAAAAGCGCTTACTGACAATCCACTCCCGAAGAAATCTCGTCATCATGGTTCCGGTGTATCCTCAGGTGTTTCCACAGGCGCCAGCACTCCAAACCCTGAGAATACCCGACTTGTTCTCACAAGACACGCTGCAGTCCTTGGATTAGGTGCCCTCATACAGGCTTTCCCCTACACTAGCCCTCCGCCACAGTGGATGCCCGACGTTTTAATCACACTGAGCCACAAAGCCGCAGGTGATCCAGGCATTGTGGGGCAAAGCGTGAAGTCCATAATTAGTGATTTCAAGAAAACAAGACAAGACACCTGGCATATCGATGTCAAGGTATGTTAATGTTCCCCTTTTGGCTTTGTCTTAATGCATTCAATGGTTGGCTAACAATACCTAACTAGGCTTTCAAACCGGACCAAGTTGAAGACCTCGCAGGGGTCCTATGGAAGAGCTATTTCGCGTAGACTATACCATACAGAGCTCCTCCTAAATCCCTTCTCATTAACTTCCAATCTGGTTCTGTCTCTTATGCCGTATAAAAATATTGGACATTTGGACACATTATTTCATCCCTCCCTCGCACGGTTTGGCGTTTGAGAATTGATAAATGGAACTACACTTGTAGCCGGTCAGGAATCAGGGTTCGCTGGGGTTTTATCATTCCGATATGCTTCTATGCATGCACTTATAGCTTGCATTCTAAATTTCCCTTGGGTATCTTATCTTCCTGCACTAGATCTATACATCATCCTTTATCTCGCCCGTTCTCCATTTCTCTAGTAATTTTAACTATGGGCCGGAGGATTCCTGTTGTGGGAAGAAACATTTCCCTAGTTTAATATGGTCATATTGTATGGGCACGGGTAATTGGAATTGTATAATAAAGACTATATACAGAGTAATGCATAACAAGACCTTCACAAGGCTCCGAGGGCGTCTTTGTTTCCCTTGACAGCAGTCATTATCACGTGACTATAAGCCACAATCTCTTAAGGTTCTGGGCAACCTTGCAACTCCAACCTCCATCGTCAACTACAGGTTGGTCCTAATCTTCCTCAACGTCAACTCACATCTACCCGTCATTTTTCATCTCTTTTTTCTTCTACGTGAAATTTTTACACTGCTTGTTTCTTTGTCTTGGATGCGGTCTTTCTGTATTGGTGAGATAGCCGACTTCAGGCAACCAGCATGGGGGTTCCGCAAGATACGCTCCTCCGCTCAGCGGACATGAGCCTGACCCAGCTATATATCGCAAACGAAATCGGCCGTGAGGTTGTCAGTGCTTTGGGAGAAATTGGGCAGGTTCAGTTCCGTGATGTGGGTTGATCCCGAATACTCGGATCTCGACGCCGAAGGTGCAACTGACCCTGGAATACTTTGTTTAGTTAAACCCTGATACCACTGCCTTCCAGCGGACATTTACCAACGAGATCCGGAGACTTGATAATGTCGACAGGCAACTGCGTACGTATCATACCCGGAAGATGCTGAAGGGAGATCTGCGGCGCTGAATTTTGATGGGATTTTTTTTTAGGATACTTCCACTCGCAGCTGGAGAAAGCGGGAATTCCGATGAGATCGTCCTCCGAATTTTCCAACACTTTAGCAGCCCCAATGGCATCTGAAATTGACGAACTGGCTGATCGAAGTGAAAGTCTTGAACAAAGAGTCACTTCTCTGAATGAGAACTATGAAGCCTTGCAGAAACGAGAAATTGAACTAGTTGAATGGCGATGGGTCTTGAGAGAGGCCGGTGGATTTTTCGATCGGGTTCGTTAACTTCCCAACTTGGTACATATTATCTACTCCCCGGTTACTGGTAATTGACCCGAAAACTAGGCCCACGGCCACACAGAAGAGATCCGTCAATCATTTGAGAATGATGAGGCTCCTCTTCTGCGAGACGTTGAACAGCAACCCGCGAGAGGCCAGAACGGTGATGCGGAGACTCAACAAGCTTTCTCAGTCATGAATATTGGCTTTGTCGCTGGTGTTATCCCGAGAGATCGGATTGCAGCGTTGGAGCGAATTTTGTGGCGAACTCTACGTGGAAATCTATACATGAACCAATCGGAAATCCCAGAGGCGATTATTGATCCGTCCAATAATGAAAAAATTCACAAGAATGTCTTTGTGATATTCGCCCACGGAAAGGAAATCATTGCAAAGATCAGGAAAATTTCCGAATCCCTTGGAGCCAACTTGTACAGCGTGGACGAAAACAGCGAACTCCGGCGAGACCAGATCCACGAGGTTAATACCCGAGTCGGCGATGTGGGCAGTTTTCTGCGCAATACGAAAAGCACCTTGGATGCTGAATTAACTCAGATCGCACGTTCCCTTGCTGCTTGGATGATCATCGTCAAGAAGGAGAAGGCAACCTATCACACACTCAACAAATTTTCTTATGATCAAGCCAGGAAGACGCTTATTGCCGAAGCTTGGTGCCCTACTAATTCTCTTCCACTTATCAAGGCAACGCTGCAGGACGTGAATGATCGTGCTGGATTATCGGTGCCAACGATTGTCAACCAGATTAGAACCAATAAAACTCCTCCTACCTATATCAAAACAAACCGATTCACTGAAGGTTTCCAGGTTATCATCAACGCCTACGGAACGGCTAAATATGGAGAGGTTAACCCCGGCCTTCCGACGATAATCACGTTCCCTTTCCTCTTTGCGGTTATGTTTGGTGATTTCGGTCACGGAATGCTTATGACGATGGTTGCCACAGGCATGATTCTGTTCGAAAGGAAGTTGCTGAAAACCAAGGTGGACGAGATCACTGCTATGGCTTTTTATGGCCGATACATCATGCTTATGATGGGCATCTTCTCGATGTACACCGGTTTGATATACAATGATATTTTTTCCAGATCTATGGAAGTCTTTACAAGCGCATGGAAGTGGCCGGAACATTTTAACAAAGGTGACGCCCTTACCGCTGAGCTTAAATCTAGTTATAGGTATCCCTTCGGTCTTGACTCGGCGTGGCATGGAACCGAGAATGATCTACTCTTCGCCAACAGCTTCAAAATGAAGTTGAGCGTCCTTCTCGGTTGGGCCCATATGACATACTCTTTGTGTTTATCTTACATCAATGGCCGACATTTCAAGAGACCCATCGAAATTTGGGGTAACTTCGTCCCTGGAATGATTTTCTTCCAGTCTATTTTTGGATACCTCACTTTCACCATTATATACAAATGGTGCGTGGACTGGAATGCTCGTGGACAAACCCCTCCCGGCATACTAAACCTGCTCATTTTCATGTTCCTCAAACCCGGCACTGTTGAGGAAAAATTATATCCGGGGCAAGGAGTCGTGCAAGTCATTCTCCTCCTTGTTGCCGTTATTCAGATTCCAATACTTTTGTTTCTGAAGCCGTTCTACCTTCGATGGGAACATAATCGTACCCGCGCGCTTGGATATCGAGGCCTGGGAGAAACTGCCCGTGTGAGTGCTTTGGATGGCGAGGATAATGGAGACAGTCATATTTTAGGTGACGGGCGAACCAGCATAGGCAATGATGCGGATGGTATTGCCATGATCACCCAAGACATAAGCGAGGAGGAGCATGAGGAATTTGAATTCTCTGAGGCGATGATCCATCAAATCATTCATACGATCGGTTAGTAAAATCTTCTCTTTTATTGCGTTGTCGGAATCGTTCACCACAAGAGTTTTCTTCGGCTTATTAACCTTCTTTTCCTGTAGAGTTTTGCTTAAACTGCGTTTCACACACTGCATCATATCTCCGATTGTGGGCCCTGTCCCTTGCCCACCAGCAGCTTTCTGTGGTATTATGGACTATGACGATTGGTGGTGCTTTCTCCATGGAATCAAACGTCGCTAGAGTCATCATGATCATTGCCACCTTCTACATGTGGTTCACTTTGACTTTTGCCATTCTTTGCGTTATGGAGGGCACTAGCGCAATGCTGCATTCCCTCAGGTTGCACTGGGTCGAAGCCATGAGTAAGCATTTCATCGGTGATGGAATTCCCTTCCTCGCATTTAGTTTCAAGACGCTCTTGGAAGAGGAGCCGGTGGATTAGTCGATTTATCTTTCTGGACCGTTTAAAGTGCAGATGGCTGTAATAATTCTTTATTTTTTGGGAGGTCATTCCATACTTCATATATATTTCTTACCTTTCTGCCCTGTACTCTCCTTGACGTGACATTATAAACGAATCGTTCTTTACACTGTGTTTGTGGATACTGGTAGTTGAGGATATAATTACTAGACAACAGAACGTCTGTTACATAGGTTCTTTCCATTTTCTCCCCAGATTCATCACTCCAACACCGGATTCCACTCCACTACTAGCATGGAGCTACCGATCTGTAGCAGTGAACGAGCTCTTTTGTGTGAGAGGTGAAAAGCTTGATTGATTAATTGCTAGCTAAGCGGACCATTTTATATAGGGTAAGAGCGTTACACGAGACACGTGGTTGTCTCACATTTTGCCCTAACTAGTGACCTTGTAACTTACTAAGACCTCCCAGACACGAGCAAACCCAACCTGGTTTGAAAAATCAAGTGAGCATTGTACTCCACATGGACGCAGTAGTAAACGCAACTTACATCGCACAACTCGATTCACCCTGCTGAACCTGCAAAGCGACTCTCCATCCTGGTGTTGGTAGGGCGGAGGCATGATGAGTAACTTACCACAGGTCCATGAGGGTCGTCTCCCGATCGTCGCTTAAAAGTTAAGATCTAGCGATAACCCGCCATAGTTGTCGACAAGGACGCGGTGGTTACTGACACTCCAGGCACGGCTGGGTATGCTAGGCAGATCAATATCGTTCCACAGGTCAGAGTTATAGAGCAACGTCAGCAAGATGACATGCGCCTACCAAAGCCCGTTGGAAAAGCCAGCGACAGCTTCGGACGAGACAGAGCCCAGCTACCGAGTAATAGGTCTACTCGTGTCAGGATGAATTAACCATCGTTGTCCTCGCCTACTCGCGTTCCTTGGCGGCTAACCAAACTGTTGGAGTCCCTTGCGGGCTTTCTCGTTTCAAACGCGAACCATGAGGTTATTGCAACCGCTCTCTGTGGATGTAAGCGCATAAATGATTACGATTATGATCAGCAGCAATACTACGCTCCCGACTGTGACATGTGAGCATGGGAAATGGATTTGGAGGGCTCTGAGAGAGATTCCTTTCGATATCACTAACTTGTAACTTTTCAAATTTAGGTATTTTTGAAATAATGATCTGATACAAGATGTACCTGAGAATGCAAAGTCTCATAATATGAATATCTTCAAAACCTCACATACCAATATAAGTATAATTCAATCCAGAGAATATGACATTTTGAGAAATTCTATTAAGTCACTAATTTCACTAATTACAATGTATAGATTACGGGAACGAGATCTTATGTTGTGTTGAAGATATGATTTTTTCTCTCTCCCTCATTTACTTATTATATGGGGGGTGCTGACAGGTCTTGTAGCGCGAAGGCACGAGCACTTTCAGCCATCACCACCAAAATTCTCTTGAGGTATCATATTTACCCACGTCTTCAACGAACTGGCAGCAATGCTACGTGATATGATCACCTCGAAAGCCTGCGAAATCGCGGTCTACACGTTTACGAGCAGATCGCCCGGAATCCTATGCGATAAGCTATGACTGGATGATAGCAGCGTACAGTACTCCCACTACCCTTCGATGTATCAATCGACGAGGCGAGGTGCTGTGGAGTTATCAGTTTACCGATCGAACTAAAGGATACATGTGTTACATAGCACAACCAGAATTCTCCTTTGACGGCAGGGTTGTATGGCTTTACCGACCAGACTGCGGAATCTGGGGGGAAGATTGTACCGAAAAACCTCTTGCGATCAATGCGGCTACAGGTTCTATTATCTCTCAGGTGGATTTGGGAAGCACAGGAAATTGTGCACGATTTCTTGCCCATCCCAATAATCAATTTATGCTTCTGGACGTTGGAGAGGGACAAGATGGATCACCGCCCTTCATGTTCTATCTCAACGAAGCTGATTCTGTCCAGCTAACCCGTTGTAATTGGTGCGTAGGCTACCGCCTAAATACTTGACCTCTCTCTTGATGGAACACGATGTGTGAGCGTCGATGAGATGCAAAACCGTGCTATTCTCCACTCCCTCTCCAGCGGCCAAACTCTAGGCACAGTTGAGGTAGACGAATTCGGGCAGGACGCTTCATATATCGAAATGTATCCAGGTGGTTATTGCGATGGTAACTCGGTAATCATCAACGTCAGAGGCGAAAGCGAGGGTTCTGATTGGAACCAGCGATTTTTACTCGCCGCGCATGCCATGAAAGTGATCAGGCCAATTGGCCCCCGGACAGAAGATGCGGAGAGCTTGTTTTTACCTGGCAATGGAATGTTCGTGAATCCATGGAGCATTGAAGAGATTCCTCCAGAGTAGATAGATCTGCCTCGAAATCAGGGGCCTAAGCGATGTAAGGTCCTCTGTAACCACCTTTGGTGCAGTTAGCAGGGTGGTATTTCAGCATACTCCAAAACGATAGCCAGCTATCATACTGGATGAGTAACCTCGTAGACTTCCACCTTAGGTACTTGAAAGTTAATAATATCCTTGAAGTTCGCGCGGAATAAATTATACCCCATTGTTTTCCGACATCCAACTTGTCCTTGTGAGCTTTTCAGAAATTCTAAGACTTAAAAATATATGATGTCATTTGTTGCTCAGGCGCTGAGACTAAACCCACTCACTGGCAGGAGCTTTATAATCATAGACAGAACAGATTGTGAAGTGTAAATATTACAGGCTATGCGACAAGTTTATACACATCCTCAAATCACAAGTTTCCCCTTCAGATAAGCCCTCGTCGTAGTCGAATATGTCTTGTGGTTCCTTGAACCAAAGGGGAATCCCGATTCCCCACGTACTCTACACACCGCTGTGGGATCGCCAAACACAGTTTCAGGAAGGCGACCATCTGCAACATTATCTCGGCAATCCACGTGTTGTAAATTGTCGAATATTGGTTTTTACTTGACACCCCTTAACAGCTGATTAAAAAAAATGTCCATCTTTTCAATCTAACAGGGAGCTACGGTGGCAGGAGCCCACAAAGGAATTGGCAAGGCTGAGGTGATTACACTGGCAGAAGCCGGAGCTGGCCTTATCCTGATCAGAGTAGGCCGAAACCTGTGCGGTTTGGAATGCATGGTTTGAAACCGATGCAATTAACAAGCAAATCGCAATGGAAGCCATTGAGAAAACAGGCCGGAAATGTTTTTAGCTACCAGCGCAGCCTGGGCAATCTAACCGCTGTAGCTGTCATCATTGAAGCGGTCACTGCTGAACGCAGAAAGCACTAGTGTCAATGTACTTGCGAACGCCGCAGGGATTCAGCGCCGTTCTGAAGGTCAAAAGTTCCATGGTCATGCATCCTACTCTTATTGGACCGTTTAAGTTATGTGAGGATATAGGCAAGTATTAGATTGAAAATAATATGCAAGCTATTCATGGGTTTGGCCTTTGCGCGTTCCTCGGGGGTGTGAAGATGACCGCGAACTCGAGTACTGGATCAGTAAAGGTCGCCGGACAGTTGACGAAAGGGTTGTTGGACAATGAGTTTGCTTCATGTGGGGGAGGGGGTTGAGTTTGATGATAGGAAACGTCAATGAGAGCCGAAAAAGTGATCATCATTCTCTCAAAAGCAATCGTTCTTCGCAATTGAGCAAAACTGATTTTAAATATTCAAAAAGGGGATTGAATGCAGGCAGAAACATGAAGGTATGGCAGCCTAACATTCTCATGAACCTCAATCCTGACTTCCGCCAAAACCAACTTCCCCCACCTCCGGGCTCACTCATGGAGTCGTGGAGCAGTGGAGCAGTTGCAAGGGATCTTGTTGATCCCGAACCAGGCCCTGGCAGCCAAACATTTGAATCGCTTCTCTGTACCCCGTACGGAGTAGTTCGAGCCAACTGGCGATGAAATCCACAGATGTTGAAATATTCTATTTCTGGAGGGCTGTCCTCTGCATCGCGGCCTGCATGGTCCCCATGGCCAGCAAATCAACATCTTCCATAAGCGCCCAGTTTTTGGTGGCTGGAATGATGTTGGAATGGCGTTGGACCGACTTCTGAGACTAGGCAAGGATCTGTCTTCAACCTACATCCCACCTTGTGAAGGGTCGAATCAGCAACACGTAGCACAACAGAGGAGTTCCAACTTACACCAAGAGGTCGAGATCGCCCAATCATTTCTCTGTCTGGTGACATCAGGCCATTTTCGACTGGCCATCATTGGCGGAAGCAGGATTTCCCTTGTCGAGCCTTCAAAAGCGGGACCTGCGACAGGAACTCTGACCCTCTATGAGCTCTTGGCCTCTCAGCAGCCCAGACGGCCTGGGATTTCTAAATTCGGATTCCAGAGACTGAGAATTGTCCACTCAGAGGCGTTTGTTAAATTTGGCTACTCTAGCGTGGAGTTGGCTGCAGATAATAAAAATAGCCTGACTCTCAACAAATTTGGTGATCTCGCTGGTTTGAATGGCCCCGTGTGATTTTCTACCCTCAACACCAATGGATGGTATGGCTACGACTGTCAACACCGTGCTTCTCGGGCTTGAAACTATCTAATTTCGCGACACTTTGGTTTCCGTAACATTATTGTTATTATTAGCTTTTTTCTATGCCTGGTCTGATGCTTTGGCTGGCTGCGAACCCTGGCCGGGGCTGCCTTTGGCTGTGCTCGCGGATATGAACAGGTGTGCATGTCCCCTCCTCATTCCATTTATACCGTCTTAAGACATTTGTCTCTGGTGGTTCGTCTCCCTCTCTCCCGTTGTGAAGTGCGTAGACTGATCGTGGATTCTCTCCTACCAGCTGGTCAGACTCCAGGACGGGAGGGTCAGAGTCGCATCGGAATCCTCCTCGACTGATTGTCCCACCTTCCGCCCCGCCCCTCACTGGCGCGCTGGTCTTCCCCCGCTGTCGGGAGAATGTTGCAGAGCCCCCATCTCTCACGACACCCCTGAGCGGTGTCCAGTTCCAGGGTTCTGGGTTTCCTGCCAGTCCGAGTTACGCACCGACTCCGAGCTCAATGAATTCATTTCCCAGTCCGTTTTCTCCTATGAGATCGGCGTTCACTGCTTCTTCGGGGGACATGAGTGCAATGACCACCCCGATGTCCTCCAGGCATGTCTCGTACAGCGCGGCTTACAACCCTCAGGAATGGGGCCCTATAGCAGCAAACGGGTCTCCCGCTGCTGGCGTGAGCGCGTTTACCTCTCCGAATGGTATTCCCACCTTTATTCCCACCTCGAATTCCTTCCTCCGCTTTCAACTGGTGCAATGGATTACTATTCGAGATGATAAATGTCATTATTCCAAGCGAGAGACTGATAAAAAGTGCGAATGCAGATGCCACATCTATACCTCCCCCCCCCTACTCTCCGAGATACCCAAAGCCTGAAGATACACATGTTGAGGCTTCCCCTAGACTAAGCGTAGGTGCTGGTGCTCCATTAGCAGTTGCATCCCAGTATAATTCTCCAGGCCCTGCGAGAACTCGGGATTCAGTTCCTGCTGGATATCGCTATCCTGCATCTCGCCCCAGGCCCTTATCGATGATTCATAGTACCGATGTAGTCCTGAGCGACCATCTGCAACCAGGCGCCCTTAATGCGGGTGGCCCTTCATCACAGTATCCAGGCCAAAGCGGCCAGAACAATCCCCCGTACAATGCGGACGGTGGCATTTCTAGCTTGGTATCCTCATCGTCGAGATTGTCACATGACAATGGCTCTGGAAATGTAGCTCTACGGCCTCCAGCATCGATCAGAGCGGCTTCTACAGGGGATATTGGTCAAAATAGAAATGGAAGTGCGGCGCATGCGTGGCTTAATCGACAGCACGGACGCTGGGAGCCTGGGATGCCCCTTCCACCTCCACCCCCTGGACCACCACCTAACGGTGCTTGGAACCAATCGAGGGAGTCGTCAAGAGGTCCTTCCCAGGATGGGTCAAACCAGTCGAGTCGACATAGATCACCGCCGGTTTTGGGGACCGGCCTTGGAGAAGTTCCTCCTACACCAATTGGATGGATTGACGAAAGCGTCGTCGCTGGCCAGCGGTCTGAAGGTTCTAGGGAGCGTGCTAGTTCCATGTCTCAAAATACAACAGATTATGCCCCTGAGGATGAGCTTGCTCGTTTGACTCAACAGAACAGACGCCCCCAATCAACCGTACATCACAGAGACAGCGCTCCAGCAACGAGAGCCATTAGCTCAAAAGGCATCAGAGAACGCAGAATTGAGGCCAGAAAAGAACATGATGCTGCCACAGCAAATAATGGTCCCGACCGCGACACAAACCATGACTCATCGGACTCTGCTTGGCCTAGCGACCTTGTCCTTTCAAAACCAGGTGGTCCTGGACTTATTCGTCGTCGAACCGTAACGAAGCACACACCGCGAACGCCACGAACTGCCCAGTCAGATGGTCAACTTACTGCATCAACTGTGAAATCTCCGTTCCCATTGCTAAGCTCAACTGGTTCTGCTCAGTCCACTCCAAAACAACAACCAACGCCATCTTTTGAGAGCCTCACACAGCCCAGCAATTATGTGCAAACTCCTCCATTTTCTCCGGCCTGTGACCTCCAATCACCAACTTTTTCTGCTACTGCCACCACTCCAAATCTACCACCGAGAGCGTTGCCAACCCCACCGTTGCAAGCCATACAGGAACGGAGTAGCTCGACAGTAACAAGCAGCTCTACTGAACAGGAACACACTCCGTTGGGTCAAACTAGACCGTCTTCACGTGCATCACGGTCTGGTAGGACAATTGAATATGCAAATGACGACTTCATGCGTGATGCAGTCCAGCGACATCGTGATTTCATAGAAAAAGAAGCCTCCGCATCCACCGCGGTTGAAGCCTTGGGCCTCTTTGCTGATTTCATTGTATCAGAATCTATAATACGACAACAACGTCATGTTACTGCTATCCAAACCGGTTTGTTTGACGTACAAACGGTTAGAGAGAAACTTTTCCAAGCAGATTCTAACCAACACAACGGCGTGCATACAAGCAATCCGCCATCAGCTGGTATCACTACCCGAATAGACCCTCCAGTTCGCTTTCAGCCTGTGCTTCCACAAATGCGTGTGGAGTCAGGATGGTGGAGTAATTACAAACCATCCCTATCTCCAATAGGCAGTATTAGTGTAAGAGATGATGAAATGAGTTCCAGAGGGAGAGCCCCGAGCCGTTGGTGGGAGTCACAGACCGGGTCGGAAAGTGGGGGTTCTGGCAAAAAGGTCCGGCGGTCCAAGCAAGAAGCAAAATACATGGGTGTACCTCGAGAAGTGCGTGAAGCGATGCAACAGGAACATTTTTCTGCTGGACTAATTGACGTGAATCAATCTCAAATTCCGCCTCCTGCTTTTGGTTTTGCTGCTACATATGGGCCAAATGAATATCCCCCCGAGAAAGTTGGCTTGGAACGGCACGCTTCTGCATCTCGAGCGCCAATGGTCACATCTCATATTGATCGCCAGATCCCGGCGTTAGATATCTCAAGATTTATTACTCTTCCACCCCCATATCCCAGGCATTATCCAGCTGTTAATAACAGCCATCCTGATCTATTGTATTACAGAAGTACGGTAAGATCCGTCAGTGACCTCACGGAAGTCCAGGAAACGAAACAGGCGCACCAGATAAAACTAGAAAAACTTCAGCATGAACACCAAATAAAAATGAAGGAATCTCGGCGCGCATTTAGATCAAGCGTGAATACCCGGATAGCGCAAGGGACTTTGTCTTACGCGGAAGCTGCCGAGGCAGAGGCAGTCCATCTTCTCGAGGAACAGAAATGCGAAAAGGAGCTAATTCAAGCCGAATTCGACTCTTATGAACAAGTAGTATTCCAACCTTTACAACTCATACTCGCAGATCGGATCGACATTACGTCCACCTGCATTGACAGCCTCCGGAGCAAGTTGTTCGATTTAACACAAGATGGAACCCCAAATCAAACACAGGAAGCAGGCGATGAACGACCAGAACTTCTAGAGAAACTGACACAACTCAAGTGGCTGTTTGAGGCGCTTGAGCAACTGCATCGAGAGGTGTACAACATCGAGAGTGAACGCAATGGCCGATATCGAGCAATCGTCACCTTACCATATAAACAAGCCAAAAACCAAGAGAAACTTATAGAGACAGACTCTTTCTTCTTGCAGGATGAGCGAAACAGGAGACTGACGTTCGCAACGGAAACACTGCGGCGCTTCGAAAGTTTCATGGATGTCATTGAACAAAACGTTGGGCGAGGGGTAGAGACCCAGCTTTCAGCCTTCTGGGACATTGCGCCCTCTTTAGTCACTGTCCTTCAGAAAATTCCCGAGGACTTTCGATCTTTTTCCATCCAGATACCTTCGAAGGAGTACGAGGAGAGCCCGAGCTACTCCGAGTTCCCTCTACAATATCTATACTCTCTACTCTCTCACGCTGAAAGATCAACATATCAGTTCATTGAATCCCAAACCAACCTCCTTTGCCTTTTACATGAAGTTAAAAGCAGCCTCATGAAGGCGAATTGCAATGTTATGGAAGTGCAACGCATAATATCTGGTGAACCAGCAGAGAGCATACAGCGAGAAATGACGGAATCGAGCGAGGAAGAAGAGAGGCGGTTGACAGCTGACCTAAAAGATAAAGTCACAATGGTCGAGGAGCAATGGGCTGAGGCTCTTGGGAAGGAGCTGAGCTCAGTGAAAAGGCGTGTGCAGCAAGATCTTGTGAACCAGGGCGGATGGGATGATACGATGTTCGAAGAGTCATAAAATGAAAAATTTATGTTGATTCGCACAATTTATTATTTATTTATTTATTTATTTATTCTCGTGGGGTTTTTTGGTGGTATCCTCCCCCCCTTTTTTTTTTTTTTTTTGAAGCTTGGAAATGACATGATTTTTTCTGCTGCTTGAGCTCCAAGATACGCAACCCTCGTTTTATGTTCGATCCTATCATGGAATAATTTGTATATAGTTGCGCTCTATATTTTAGGACTACTTTCTGACGACTCCATCTCATTGCAATCAATTAACTTCAGGAGTAAAGCATCCGCCGCGATGCGCAAAATCACATGACATATATTATGTAATCTCCATTTTTCCTCACAATTTTTGTGCTCAGCTCAGTTTCTAGAGCTTTCCAGAAATTGCCCAACCGCATATATTCTCACGACAAACCTCCGGCCACAACAACTCACTCCAGTCACTCCTCATATTTTATTTCATTCACTCGGTTGATCTGCTCCTTAACAGGATTCAAAAGATTAAAAATTGGTGTGATCTTCACTGTGAGTAGTCCGTCTCGAATTTCCAATTTCCAAATTTTTACCTCTTTTTTATGATGAGACTTCATAGCTGGCACCAGTCCTAGAAAGACTTGTACTCTGTTTGTTGCGGATTAGCTTTTGCAATGGCTTGTATAGCCTTGTTTCTGATAAATTCCTCTTGCATTTTTCGTTGTTGGTGTGCTTTATTTTTTGGACTTGATCGAGCTCATTTCAACTAACGCTCCGTCGATCAGAATTCTACAGCTACAAGAACCATTCCCAATCGACATCTATTACAATCTCCTCCCCAGCTCAAATAAGTCACTAGTAGAGACATAAAAGAAATTTGGACTTGCTGTCGAAATCCTTAGAAATAAAATGGTGCTCCACAATCCCAACAACTGGCACTGGGTGAACAAGGATGCCTCTGCGTGGACCAAGGAATATTTGGAAACAGAACTTACTACCATCTCCGCAGAGGAAAATGGAGTGACTGCTCAGATAAAGAAGGTTGTCAGCGTCGATGGCGATGTAGACGTCAGCCAACGGAAAGGCAAGGTTATCACATTATTTGATATTAAACTACAATTAGAATATGAAGGTTAGCATGCCTCTTCGCCAACAGTTTTGCTGTCACTATGTGGCCGGAACCTGAGCTGAGATAGGATGTTGTTAGGTAAGACGAGCGACGACGAGGACGTCAGCGGCTCAATCAATATCCCCGAGGTTGCGCATGATACCGAGGAAGACGAGTATGTCGTACGTTCCCTAGTTAGACCCTTGATGTTCATCTCAGCTGTAGCGTGAAGACCCTGTCTTATAACAAGCGTGAAAATGTGAATAGTTTGATATTAGCATCTACTCCGAATCTGCTTCGAAGCAGCCGGTGAAAGACCTTGTCCGCTCTAAACTCGTTCCTAAAATTCGCAAGGAATTGGCAAAATTAGCCCCTGCTTTGATCGCCGAGCATGGAAAGGATATTCAACATGCACCTGGCTCCAACCCTTCAAGCGGCTTTGCGACACCAAAGAACCAGCTCCCCCAGAGCAGCACCCAAACTCCAAGAACTTCCACTCCTAGCACTACAACCACTCGCGCCTCCTCCAATGTTAATACTGTCACTGTCACTGCTTCAGATGAATTCCGCACTACCGCAGAAGAGCTCTACACAACCTTCACGGACCCCCAGCGCATTGCTGCTTTCACCCGGGCTGCTCCTCGGCGATTTGACGGTGCAAATGTTGGCGGTAAATTCGCAATTTTCGACGGCAATGTCGATGGCGAGTATATAAAGCTGGAGTCTCCTATCTTAATTACCCAGAAATGGCGGCTTGCGCAATGGCCCGAGGGACACTACAGCACGCAAGAGATTAAATTTGATCAGAATGATGTTGACCGAGTCACCACCATGCGTGTGAAGTGGGATGGCGTTCCAGTCGGACAGGAGGACGTCGTCAAGCGGAACTGGGAAGGATACTATGTGCGGAGCATTAAGCAGACATTTGGGTGCGTTTTGACTTATTTTCCTCCTGTTCTTGTTACACTTTTATTAAATGTCGTTCGTCTGCTCCACTTCCCTGGCCCCATACGAATATTTCGACCGCCAACACTTTGTGTCTTCTTTACTAGACCCTCCTTCTCACGTTCAATATATCAAGGTTCATGGTCAAATTTACTAACTATTGTCTTCTCACTCCTTTTACTACTCGCTGTAGGTTTGGCACGATTCTCTGATCTACACTGAACTTCATAGAAATGTCAAAAATAAAAAACTTTCCATGTTCGGTTGTTTCCTTTCAAAATCAGCAAAACCTGACTACGAAAGTAGCATGAATCGAGAAAAATGACTGGTTCAATGAAGAAGGGGTTGGGGGAAAATTTGATAATAATCTCACATTATCAAACGAAAGAGAAAAACGCAACCACGGCCGATAACCGATGAGAACAGTGAGGAGATGGAATTGAAACATCCACATGTTGAAATACAATTACGGTCGTTTCCCTTCCCGCCTACCATATATTTGTTGTTAGTATCGACTAATCGTTCAGAGTATTTATTGGAGGTGTTAGACAACCTGCCGAAATAAATTTTGACAGCCGTTAGAAGCTCGAATTCATTGCTAACAACAATCAATAATTAAGTAATTTTACATTATGGATTATTCCTTCTGCATTTTCGTGAGCGTTGCAAGGTTGAGTTTTCTTTTTGCATTTCCATTTCCGAGGCGGGGTTGTGTGCTATGTCCTTTCTATCGACTCCTTCATATATATATAATCTACCCTCGAAACTTCATGTTATTCCAGGTTAAATACCGCGAATTTTCCTACACGAAGTCCCTCCCCCGCTCCCTTCCTCTTTATTCATATACATTCATTCATACTCCTTTTCTATACACATTTCCAAATAGCCTTCCTTTCACTTTCCTTCACCTTCCAACCTCCGTCACACGCATATCCCACTCCCAACAAGCCTCTCACTTGGGTACAGGATCCTCGGCTCGCCCGCACCCATCGGCACTGGTAGCTGCCCATTAGAAGCCACCACAGAAGACGTGCACGTGTAAATATCGGTAACCCGCATGCCGGCCGGATAGCCCGTGCCACCCAGCTGCAACGTGTAAGAAGCCCCGCCAGAGCCAAGGTTAGAGAGTACAGTGATAATTTGTTTGCCATCGAAACCTTTGCGCATCGCAATGGTGTTTTGGTCTTGGTAGATGGGATAGTTCTATATTTGTTGCGTCATCGAAGTCAACTGCGTAGTTCTGCTTGAGGAACGGGCTAACGTGTGACTGGCTGGGGGAAGGGAGGGGGGGTGATGGTTATCGGATCGTGCACGAATGATTAGGAACTTACTTTATATGTAAGATAGTTGGCATCGTCTGCAATGGCTTTCTTCCGGATTCTATTGGCTTTTGCCGTGAGCTTGAATAGAGGACTTTCAGTGTTATAGCCCGACAGCCAGGTTGCTTCACGGTTGTATGGATCATTCCCGCCCGAATAGTGCTGTTCTTGGCCAGCATAGACTATGGGAATTCCATCTGCGAGGATCGTGAAGACCAGGACACTTTTAGCGAGAGACAAGTCGTTGGTATAACTTTGACAGTGTAATATTAGAGATTTGTGGAGCCATGACGTTAAATGGGTTTGCACTTTACCTACTTTGCGAACCTTGGAGTGTCGTGATTCTCTGAGAAGGTGCCTATTAGTGTGGAATCTGGACAATTGTCCTTCACTGTATTGATCATATTGTATAGGTTTGCCATATTGCCGCTTGGTGATTTAAAGGCTTCAATGAGAGGGTAATAGCTGCAAATACTTTAGTAAACTCCGTGTGACCAACCCATTGGCAATGTATCCGTGACCATACATTGGGTAATTCACTAAACCATCGATATAGTTCTGGTAGTCACAGGCGTAACCTGGGTCACCATGATACACTTCACCCATGGAATATACTCCTGCGGCGAAATTGAACTCCTTCCAGAATGGCTTCCGTACATGCTTCGCAGTGTCGATTCGAAGACCGTCGACTGCAGTAATTGTTAGTTCCAAGACTAGGGTATTTTGAACAGCAAGAACAAGTAGAGGGCGAAACGGAAGGTATTCGGGAATATCACCCACTAGAATAGTTGGAAACAAGGGCGGAAATCCAGGTGTTGAAAATGTTCTGTACATCTGTCATTTCGGAATTAAGATCCGGAAGTGACACAATATCATCTCCAAGCCAACAATGTTCAACCATAGGTTGATTGTTGTAATCGGTGATGGGGCAATAAGGGTGAAAATAGATATAGTTATTAAACGGGACATATCGACTATAATCCATACTGCTGCTGGAGCCAGGATAGCCCTGATATAGGATGTGAGGATGGGTACAGACGAATCATCAGGTTTACGTTTTCTTGCATACCATATGGTTCGCTACTACGTCGACCATGAGATACATCCCACGTTCATGTAGTGCTGCGCTCAATACCCTGAGATCGTCTGCAGACCCAAGATGGGGCTCCACGGCATACCTGAAGGCAAACAACGTAAGCGGCGCATTAAAAAAAAGTCTCAAATGGAAAACCATTTCTCAGGCAAATGGAGATTCTGCAACTTACAAATCTTGTTGCCAATATCCATGGAACGCCTCTCCATACCCCGATCTCTCGGGGAACTGTTTTGTCACAGGAGTAATCCATATAGCAGTAAACCCCATTTTCTGGATGTAATCAAGCTTCCAAAACGTGTTAGGCAAGGTCCCAATCTGAGACAGGAAGGGCTCTGAAGGGTACCTTCTTGATGATTCCTTGCCAGGTCCCACCGCAAAATCTCTATGTTGATATCAGCCTGGTGAATCTTTATTCAAGATAGGGCATGGTCAGTTTCTTTGGAAGGAAGAGTAGGCAGCTTACACGATCTTCAGGGTTGCATGGAGCAGTTGTGGAGCCATCAGTTCTTGCAAACCTGTCCGTGAGAAGGAAATATATCGATTGCGAACGCCACTCTGCTGGAGTTGCCGCAACAACAGCTTTTGCAACAGCCAGAATAGACACTGAAACATTAATGATAGTGAATTTCATCATGGTGGACAAATGAAGTGTTTACTATTCGTATTCGAGGGGTCACATCGAAGAACCTGAACGCATTTATACCTCGAATATGACGACTCTTCCCATCTCATCTCGACAACTTCGGCCATCTTGTAAAACATCAAATGCAGAAACCGCTAAGATCGACGACTGTTGCGCCCATTTGGCCATTGTATATCGGCGTCCCGCAAGAGATCGGGTATAGTCCTGGAGAAGGAAGTGCTGTCAACCGAATAATCGGGAATGACAGCAGCGAATTTCCACCCCGGATATTTGCAATCCGGGGATTTTGCGGGGTGAGGGAGTACAGCGTGACTAAATATTTTGGCTGTTTATAGTCATGCATTGCCCCATGGGACAGAGTGGGTCACTGCTTGTTTATTAGCAAAAGTCTCCGCTGTAGAGCAACCCTGTTGATCGAGATGTGGGAAACAATCTCATGTCTTATGAAACCATCTTGACAAGGTACGGGCAATTAACGGAGTTCATATATTTCTCTGTCGATCGTTCATCGCTTTGCCCTCCAAGCTGATGTTAGGATGCTGCTGAGGGTTAGAGGATGACATATTCATCGAATGGCAATAGTTACTAATAATCCAAACCATAGTCCCAATTTGATTGAAACGGAAATCCATCCTCACAGAGTTGACATGGAAGTTCTGCGATATCAACGCGGGTAACTGCTGTATTTCGCATCGTCTGTGGGAGTTGAAAAGAGAATTGGAATCACGCTCCCATCGTGCTGCCTTCGTAAGCTGGGGTAAGATTGGATGGTATGGGGAATGCATTTTCATTCAGAAATTATATATATCTATAATAATACAAATTTATATAAATGTATTATTATTGTTATTAGAGAGAACTGTCATTAATGACAATTTTTATACGTTCGGATAAAGTTTCAGTATGAGATTGGAAAACATATATCAAGATAGTGCCAACCTTCAAGAGTTGATATATTACAGGCCTCATGTTTTTGATATGTAAAATTACAACATATGCAAATTTGGTCTCCACACGTCATGTTGTGAATTATGTATTTAATTCTTAATTACATGAGTTAATTTTAAAATAATTTATAAGTTAGCCATAATTTGTAAATATACAAGTCAGGAGTAACTATCGAGATTATAAATTACAAATAGAATAGTTATCAACAATATCCTAGTAATGTTGAGATTGATTATGTTTTTTGTATGTTTTGAATGTAAACTGGGTTGGGTTCATAGAACCATGGACTACATTATGCCTCTTACCAAGGTATGGTATAACTATATCTGTTTACAAACTACTCAGATTGTTCGCGTTCAGAACAAGTGGCGCTGTAACTACATCGACAATCATCTGAGCTCGTACTGCTCCATGGCGGTGTCCCTTTTTTGCGGAGCTTTGCTGTTTGTCGGCCTCTGGTCTGTATTTGCTGGTCTCTGGGCCGGGTTGGTTGACCTCCGACCATGGCCCATTCAAAGGCCCCTTTTAACCAACCCATTGGATGCTTGGATTGCAAAGGAAAGCTCGTATGCGCTACAGGCACTCCTAGCCAATATTGGGGCCGAAGGTGCGAAGGCAAAGGGCGCAGTTGCTGGCATTGTTGTTGCAAGCCCAAGCAAGAAGGATCCCGATTGTATGCAAAATCCATCACCGATTTCCAGGCACTGAACTGACATGCAGTACAGACTTCTACACTTGGACTCGAGACGCGTCTTTGGTATTCAAAGGTCTCGTGGACGCCTTCATTTCCGGGGATACTAGTCTGCAATCGAAAATCCATGAATATATCAGCGCGCAAGCTCATCTTCAGACTGTTTCTAACCCTTCTGGACGCCTATCATCCGGTGGCCTTGGAGAACCAAAATTTGATGTCAATATGTCATCGTTCAATGGCGACTGGGGTCGTCCCCAAAGAGATGGCCCGGCCTTAAGAGCAACGGTAATGATTTCTTACGGAAAATGGCTTATTGTAAGTTAATTTTAAACGTGTTAGAATACATGCATGCTGATTCGACTTCAAGGCAAATGGGTACGCTAATACCGCGAGGATGATTGTTTGGCCTGTTGTGCAAAATGACCTATCCTACGTGGCGCAGTTCTGGAGCAGTCCTGGCTTTGGTCGGCATATTCTACTTCCCCTGTCCGATAACTGTGCACTGACTTGGTATATAGATCTTTGGGAAGAGGTTGACGGCATGTCGTTTTTTACGACGGCAGTGCAGCATCGTGCTCTTGTCGAAGGTTCCAGATTCGCGCGCCAGATAGGACTCAGATGCCCGAGCTGTGAATCCCAAGCTCCCCAGGTCCTCTGTTTTATGCAAAACTACTGGACAGGGTCGTATATCAACTCCAACACCGGTGGTGACCGCTCTGGTAAAGATACTAACTCCATCCTTGCAAGTATCCACACTTTTGACCCTGAGGCTTCATGTGATGACTTGACATTTCAGCCCTGTTCTGCAAAATCGTTAGCAAACCACAAAGTGGTAACGGATTCTTTCCGTTCAATATACCTTGTGAATCAGGGCGTCTCAGCAGGTTCAGCTGTTGCTGGTCGGTCGGTATCCCGAAAGACGTTTTACTTTGGG